TAAAAAAAAGTTCTAAGCGTAACATTTATTTTGATATCTTTTAATTTTTTCTCTTACATCAAACATACTCATTCAAAATATAGATGTAGGGTATTAATATTAAATGTACTATAATATATCAATATTTATTCAAATGAGTATGTCTTAAGCTTTTTATTTTTAGTTTTTCTATAGGATATACCTACATACCTAACCAAGTAATATGCTTAAAAATAGAGTTTAGGTATGGTGAACAATAACATTAGTTTTAATGAATTAAAGAAAGACTATAATGCTCAGAATAGTTAAACAAATTGTTAAAATAAAGAGAATTCCTTACAAAGCGTAAACACTTGTTTCCTAATTGACGGAAGTATTATTGTCATCATGAACAATAATGAAAATATGACGTTTCTAAAAATATTCTATTATTTCAGTAGTGTCACACTACCCATAATTGTTGAAAAATGCTAAAATCTAAAACACTTAAAATACAAAATAAATTACACGCAACAATGGTTTCTCAAGCCCCATATCCTGGTCGATTTCACCACCTAAGTATGTCCTTGGAATTAGTAAAACATAGAACAATTTTTATTTTCTACTTGGATAAATAAAATTTTATAATAAAACTCATTTAAATTGTATGGGACATGTTTGAAGATTTTTCTTTTCCAAACTGATAAATTCTGTTATTTTTTTAGGAGCTGGAGAATCCGGTAAAAGCACAATTGTAAAACAAATGCGAATATTGCACGTTAATGGATTTAGTGAAGAGTATGTATAAAACTTATGTGTATTGGCGATATTATATTTATACTTAATAATTTGTCTTATAGAGAGAAAAGACAAAAAATTGAAGATATTAAGAAAAACATTAGAGATGCCATATTGGTAAGTTTTTCAAAATTTTATGGCTGTATAGTTGAATAATTTTTTTGTGTTTTTTTTTTTCAGACAATTACAGGTGCAATGAGCACACTAACCCCACCAGTACAATTAGAACATCCTGAAAATCAGTTTAGGGTCGATTACATGCAAGATGTTGCCTCTCAACATAACTTTGAATATACTACGGTATGTAGTTTTCATCACCATTTTATTTTTATATTGATACTATTTTTTAATGTAATTTGTATTTTAGGAGTTTTATGAACACACAGAAGTACTGTGGAAAGATAGAGGCGTACAATCTTGTTTTGAAAGATCTAATGAATATCAACTCATTGATTGTGCAAAATAGTAAGTGTTATACTATTATATTGTATTTTTTCATGTTATTGTACTGAGTAATATTTAGTATTATGTACTGAGTAATCAAAAGAAAAACTTAAAAACTGTTGAAGTTTACAATATTTCAATGTTGAGAAGTATAATTTTGTATTACTGAAAACATTTCCTTTTACCTAGAAACTAGTAATATGTAAATTTATAATTTTTCTGTTTTGTTGATTGGCTATTGGCATTTTCTAAATTATTTATTTTACATTCTCAATGTAATAATGATTTTTAAGTATTGAGTTTGTATTTATATTTATATTAATTATTTAATCAAAATCTATATTGTTGATTAGGCACAGTACTTAATCAATATCAGTATCATACTTGTTTTTCTTTGATTAGGATTTATTAACTGTTGTGAAACAATCCTACTTTTTTATTATTCTTCAATAATGATTTATAATAATTTAACAAAAAAGTTAAAATTAAATGTAGCCTATAAATTTTTAACAGAAGTTACTATTTTTCTATTTTTTTTTTCTTGATTTTTGTATCGATCTATATAATGTTGACTTGAAGATATGCTTTGAAAATCAAGAGGATTAAAAAAAACAACATTTACAGGATATTGATTTAAGAAAAATCAAAATTTTTTTTTTAAATGTCAATAATATAAGTTCAACAAAAATTCTTAAAAATGTTGACAAAATTCGTCATATAACTTTAAAAGTAAAAATATTTATATCATAAAAGTATAGAAACTACATAGGTGTTTCATTTTTATACTCATTTGAATGTTCAAATTTTGACAAAACTTGTTCAAATTTATAAAAATCTACAAACAATTTTTTTTAATTAAAAGTACATCTCATTTATAATTGTAACACTTCAGGCTTTAAAATTGAATACAATATTCTAACAAACTATTCTTTATAGTTAACAAAAAATAAATTAACCAGAAATTAACAAAAAAAATGTATAATTGTATATGTATGTATTACATTTTGGCACAGTTGTATAGTTCAAGAAAATTTGTTAAATCATCCTAACATTTATAAATATTAACTGTAGGAACTTGAAATATATACATACTATTATGTTATTAGCACAATATATATATATATTATATCTATATTATCATAACTATTTTTTTTAACTGCTTATAATAAATAAATTAAATAAAATTGTAAGGTTATACTTGTAGGCAATTTTTTCTGTGTAAGATCTGAGTAACCAATCTAACAACGAAAAAAATAGTATATTAATATAGTAATGTTAATTTTCTTTAGACATATACTTTGATCTATCTCTTCTTCTTTACTCAGAATTGTTTTTCATAACTAATAGTACCTTGATTTAATAAAATGTGTAAAAAAAATGTATCTATGTTAGTTTCCCTGTATGTTCACATTTTTAAAATTATAACTACAAAAAATATTTAATTCCATTAAAAATTAGTTTGTATTTAAAATAACTTTTTTTTTTTTTGTAATTTTTTTCAGCTTTCTCGATCAAGTACACATTATTAGACAACCAAATTATACGCCTTCAGAACAAGTAATTACTTATATACATATATATTTATTTATTTTTAAATATACAGCCGTGAGACCTTTTACAAAATTATCATACTATTATTAATAATATTAGTATAATTGATTCAAAGTTTAAAATTGATTATAAACATTTGTAATTGTTAATCAGTTCACCCATTTATATTGTTTGATGAAATACATGGCAATGCTTGGTAAAATATGTGACCTGAATAATTTTTGGGTTATATATAGTGTGAATAACTAATTTTTATTTTTATTTTTGATTCAATTGTCTTTTTATTATATAATCATTATCCTTTAATGAATTATTCTAATTATTCATTGATATTGATATTAATTTATTCATAATTAAATCTACATGGCAAATAATAATAAAGTTATATTGCCTATTATATATTATTTTGATTGTTGACAGTATGTTTTTAGAATTTTTTATGAAATTTTTACTTTTCGATTTTTTGTTAAAAATATAATATTTATAAATTCCTTTTTTTTCCTTAAAATGTAAATTAAAAATCACACTTATAAAAATATGTTTTAACAAAAGTTGACATATATTTAATAATACTAATAAATCTATATTTTATAATATTTTCTTTAGTATAATTTATAAATATATCAAAAACGCATTTTTGAATCTAATATTTTATTTTGAGGAAAATGAACACTGTTTAGTATTTATAAAACTAATTTTCTTTTTTTAAACAATCTATTGTATACAAAAATATTTTAATTTATAATGTACCATGTATTATGACATAAATTATTACAATCTGAATAACTGTTCGGATATACTAGATATATTTTTTTAATATATTAGTACTTAACTCATAATTATATAATTTTATATATTTTTGACCTTACTAAAACTTTTAATTAAATGTTTATTACAATACTTATTTCCAAAATCTTAAAAGTGACCCCTGAGGCTGTGGCCTGGTTAGATAACAACTTGGGTGTAGAGTTATAAAAAACTTATGCAATTTAATTTAATTTTATGTGATACAGATTGTGATGTTTGTTTTATTTTTATTTTATTTTATTTTATTTCCTATTATTTATTTTATTCGGGTACCTCATACTTCAAAATTTATTCTTTTATATAAATATTTTAGTGATAAACATGTTAATACTCATTAAATGTCATACGAATATATATATTTTCAAAATATCTCAATTTCAAATTATATTTAAAAAAAAATTTAGTACCAGATATTTATTTTAATTTAACTAATACTCTGAAATCTTACCGAAAATACAATTTTGCTCAGAATAACTTAGTCTGTATTGTTAATTTAATTTGAGTGCTCAATCAAGTTTTATTTTCTATCTATTCGTTTTATTAAATCAGCGCGTTTTAATATTTGTTTTGATGAATGATTTTTTAGGACATACTCAGGTGCCGTGTTTTAACTTCTGGTATATTTGAAACACGGTTTCAAGTTGAAAAAGTTAATTTTCAGTAAGTATTAATATTTTAATTAATAATTCTAAGAATTTTATTATGTACTTTTTTTTATTTTCTTAGTATGTTTGATGTTGGAGGCCAAAGAGATGAAAGGCGTAAATGGATACAGTGTTTTAATGATGTCACTGCCATCATATTTGTGACTGCTTGTAGTAGTTATAATATGGTCCTTAGAGAAGATCCTACTCAAAATCGACTCCGAGAGTCATTAGATTTGTTTAGAAGCATTTGGAATAACAGGTATTGGTTTTCAATATTATTTGTTAGATTTATTTTAAATCTATTTAAATTTCTAAAGATGGTTGAGAACGATATCAGTGATATTGTTTCTGAATAAACAAGATTTGCTAGCCGAAAAAATCATGGCTGGGAAATCTCGGTTAGAAGATTATTTTGCCGAATTTAACCGTTATCAAACGCCAATGGATGCTACTCCTGATCCAGGAGAAGATCCTCCAGTTATTCGCGCCAAATACTTTATCCGAGATGAGTTCCTTGTATGTTTATATTATTAATATATTTTTATTTTTATTATTTTTATATTAAAATATCAATAAATATTTAATTTGACATATAGCGCATCAGTACTGCCAGTGGCGAAGGTAAACATTATTGTTATCCACATTTCACCTGCGCTGTTGACACTGAGAATATCAGACGTGTGTTCAATGACTGTCGCGACATCATACAGAGGATGCACCTGCGCCAGTACGAGTTGCTATGATCTCTTCCTTACCCACTCACATACATACACAGGTCTCTTTATTATTCTGCAGCAATTTTGAGTAAGTATTTCAGTCTTTTTAAGATATCATTTGTTTGAGCTCTCAAACATTACACTGAATTGAACATACGAACATTTATCATTATTGATTTGTATATATATATTTTTTAATCGATAAATTCACGTTTAAATAGTTGAATACCAAATCATTTTTTTTTACTACGTACCAATTTTTATTAATATAATAATTTTTTTTTATGTTTAAATACTATGATAAATCCAGTACATTTGTATAGTACATGATGTAATGATTTTAAAACAAATAACTACTGCTGTATGCAAATTAAGTCAATAATTATTCATAATTTTTAAATTAAGGATGAGAAAAATTTAATTCAGTTGCAGTAATGAATTTACTCTTTGATCAACAAATCTCTTGTACATCAATAGTTTTTGTTGTCAGTATTGTTCTATATGAATATCTTTAATTAATTTATTTTATATTAATTTTTTTTTTTAATTTTAATAAAACTGTTAATTTTTACATCCATATGGCAAATGTCCTATGTAATTAAATTTTAATTTTTTTTTTTTTTTAAGTAAAATTATTAAAACTTTATATTATATAAAACATACGAAAGACTATATTAGAAAAAAATTAATTATTGTTATATTTGTTAATAAATACTCGAATATCTCGTTTGATTTATTGTTGAACGTAAATCATTTTTGTGTTTTTATTTTATATATAATAGCTGGTATGTATTACAATATTACAGTAACAAATAAATGTTATAAAATGTTGATGACAAATGATAATTCACCACAATTCAAAGTAAAGGGATAGTTTTTATTTTTGTAGCTAACGTATAATTGATGACAAAACTTCCTACTTTCAAATTTAAATAACTATTTTTTTATAATAACTAAGTAACATTTTAAATAGAGTAGTTATTTACAATATTTCAAATAAATACTTGCAGTTTAAATAAATGATAAATTCATTTAAAAAATAAATACATTTTAACAAATCATCTTGTTAGTCATGATCCATTTAATTCTCATTTTAAAGTTTCTCGTTTCACTAGTTTCATATTACATTAAATGTTTATAACAAATCATGGGGTGTATACTTGATTTTACAGTACATAATATGTTCCATTCATATTTTTTAATTGTTTTAATGCTAGTTAAATTAATATTTTTTATTATTATTATTATTATTATTTTTTTTTAATTGGTTGACCTATTGATTTTTAAATTAGTATATATTTCAAAAGCAATTTTGATATTTTATGAAAATCATTAATATAAAATTAATTACCTTGCAGAAAAAGTTTAAATATTACACATTAATGTTGAGTGCATTGATTAAATATGTTTATTTTGTTATTTTATCATGTAAAATATATTTAAACAAATATATTTTAGAATTAATAAAGTAACAACAGTCCATCTTTCATTTTATTTTTGAAAAATGGTTACTAATAAACTAGTTTAAATGTTGAGCGGAATTATCTATTTTATGTAAATGTATTATTTAAATAGTGAAAGTATAAAATTTCAAATTTGGTTAGTTATACAAATACTCCCATTTTATTTGTTTTTTGTTTAGTCTTATATAATTTGTAATGCTATCATTGAATATAATTTAAATGAAATATTGTTTTTTTAATAGTAATAAATAATAATATGATAATTTAAAACAGAATTTTTCTATATTTTTTAAGTTTTTATTAAAATGTACAATATCCTTATAAAAATGTTTATTAATCATATGCAACTAATTATTTATTTAATATGAACAAATAAACTTGTTAAATAATTAGAAATACTGATATAAAACTACAGATTATTCCTACTACAGAATTTATTATTATATTTTTATTTTGTTCTAATATAAATTCTTGGTTTTGTTTTTCATTTATGTTTGCTAATTAAATTTCAACTATTCACAATGAACATTTTTTAATATATTTATTTTATATTTTCATTTAGTATTTTATATGACTATTACAAATTTGATTAGATGCTTAGAGTTCTCTAAATAATACATAATTATTGGGAATATTTTAATTCAGAAGAATTATTTCTAACATTGTCAAAAATATTTAAAAAAAAGTTCATGTGAGAAAGTATATATTTTGGAGATTAATATAATATTTTCTTAATTCGATTTTCAGAATCACAGATTATCAAATCCAAATTCATTTCAACAAACCTAAACATTTCAGTAGTATGTCATTAAGATTGATTCCTTTTGGTGAACATTCTTTTACAAGCAGCCAAATACGGTTTTGCAAAAAGGAATACATATCTAGATTATAAGACCTTTGCAGATGTTATAGGTACCTATGTTTGCCTAGTCACAATTTTAGATAATTTTTTAGCAGTTGTAGTTAAAAAAAATTGATTGATTAAACTTAAATCAGTAAGAGTATAAAAAACTTAATTTATTATCTGTTTCATTTTGTTGTTCAATGTCTGGTACAATGAATTATAATATTCACCAATGAATACTTATATTTTATTTTTTTTGCTTTTTGTATTGGTGATAAATTTTTCTAACATATAGTTTGTAAAATTACATTGTCAATGGTTATATTATTGTTAATTATTATTTACCAGGTACAAAAATATCCTAACCTAATGATTATATTATATTAAAATGGATACCTATTTCAAGTCTGTTACTACAGTATAATGTCCACATTCAATGATGTAAATAATTGTATGCATTAATATAATTTTGTTTAACTTATAATATTTGCAATGTTCCAATACGAAAAAATCGCACAACTGAAAATGTTTATAAAATATTGAATATATATATATATATATATATATATATATATATTTATAAATAATTTTTAATATTACCGTTATGAATGTTATACCTGTAAATCCAATGGTAAAATTTCCAAATCTTATGTAATTACGTGTATAGATAAATATAACTAATTATATTATATTATGTTTGTAACTTACTAGTTTCTTTAAATGATGTATTGTTTGTTTCTTGTTATAAGTTGTATGTTAAGTTATTATAATTTGTTTTTGCTCTGGGATCTTATATTATGCATTTTTCAAAGAACAAAAGATGTTAACTTAATCGAATACCATAACTAAGTTAGGACATAAGGTTCCTGGGCTTACAATCGATAATAATTGAGTAACATGCAAATGTACCAATATTTTATTTACATTTATTTATTTTTAATTTTATTTTTGTTTGGTGCTGCTTACTTATACTTCCTTCTCTGCCCCTTCATCCATTATTATCAATTCATTAACTAAAAATAAAAATAAATCATGTACAATTTTTAAGCATAGGTTTTGATTATTATTATTATTATTTTTTTTTTTTAATATCAATATTTTTAATTTTTTCAGAGGGTTGTATAAATCTATGTTTTTTAAATTCTATTTAATTATTATTATTATTTATTTATTTATTATTTTTCTTTTTGTACATAGATTTAGTATGAGGGTCCGCCAATATTTAACATCATCCTGCGAGAATCAATTGAAATCATTATTGTAATATTAGTCGTTCTTTTACTATATATATATATATATATATATATATATATATATATATATATATATATATAAAATACTATGCATAATAAGTAATATATAACCTAACAAAAAAAAAAATGTAATTCATTATAATTAAATATTACTACTTTGTTGAGTTTTTATACATAAAAAAATATGTTAATTATACATACAATTATGTATTGCTTTTTGTTTATACCTATTTTCTTTATTATTTGTAACCTAGTTGTTTTCTTTTTTTCTTTAATTTTTTTTTTTTTTAATGTGTTTATTTTATTGTTTCAATTAATTATTGTTTAAATTAACTTTAGAAAAAGTGAAAAAATAGCAGATTCTGAAGTTTAGGAAAATTTTGTTAACTATTTTTTTTTTCTATTCTGATTTATTTTATTGTTGAAAATAATATTGTACTTTTTGATTGCGTATGAGTAAAAACTTTGTACAAAAGAAAAAATTAGCGCAATAAATAATATTACAAAATATATATATATATACATATATTTATATATATATATATATGTATACATATATTTATTTTATTATTTTTTTTTTCCATCGGTATTGAAATTGCTGTTTTAAATAGCTAATTGTAATTTTACCATAAAAAAAAAAAAAATAAAAAAAATAAAAAAATCTAATATGACCTATATTTTTAAATATTTTGTAAAAATTGGGTTATGTCAGGGGTGAACGCAGGAAAATAATTGAAGGGGTTTGAAAAATGTAAAATATTGATAAATAGCATGCTTTATTACTTATTATATAATATATATAATTACATATTTTATTTGTGAGTCTCGTGGGAAACTTTGAAATAACTATTAAATTTGCAGGTTAGGTTAATTTTTATTACATTTTTTTCTGCTATTTCAGGAGGGGTTAGAATTCTTAAGCCCTCTGCGTTCACGCCTAAGTGATGCATAACTAAATTCTTACCAATGTTGTATGTTGCTTAACATATTTTCTTTAAGTCTTCAGTGCTTTTCAATTTTGTGATAATAATAATGTAATATTTATAAAATAATCTTAGCATATATCATAACTAAGACTGGATATAATTGCATTATAAATATTTTAAAATTGCTCTAAAAAGATGCCAAAATTGCAATGAAAATTTATCAAAATTGCAGTATAAATATATTAAAATTTCAATGGTAAATGCATTAAAATTGCATAGTAAAGTCATATCAAATATATTACTTAAATAATTTTATGGACATTAATATAATTTTTCTGAATTATTAAAATTTATAATTATATACATCTCTGAATCGTGTTCATAAAAATTGTATCGTCTGTTACTTAAAATATGTTTTTATAATGAAAAAGTACATTCAACATTTACACTTGTTATCGATGTATATTTAAAAATGTTGGTGTTATATCTAAATTAGCATTTTGATTTCCTGTCATTTTTTTCTAAGACATATTTTAATTTATCTTTAACTATTTTTCCATTGGGAACTGGAATATTTATCGAAATATTTTCAATTTCACTAAATATTTTTAAACTATTAAGTAATTGACTATTTGATTCTTCTAAACTTGTGAGTTTTGTGAATTACTCTGATAAACATAATTTTTAAAATGCTAAACTACATTTAACTACATATAAAAATATACGTCGTAGTTATATTTTTATTGTAAAATTACGTTAGAAATATTAATTTGTATATTTTATCACATAAAGTATACAAAATTTGAAATAATTGCAAAAATTCCATTATTAAATCAAATAGGAAGGCTAATTAATCCGATTCGTATACATATTTGATCAGATTTAATTTATATCTATACATTTTATCTCGAAATCATCATTTTTCCGTATGTAAACAAATTGAACACCTATCTTAACGTTAGCATCGCCAAAATCATCTAGTACCGTCAGCATTAAATTTATCTAAAACAAGTAGGTACCAACATAAGATCATTGTATGAAAAACGTCTCTATTTTTATTCGTAATAAGATTCATTTTATCCAAAATTTTGAAATAAAAAGTCTTTAAAGTTAGTATCATATACTAAGAATATATAACAAGAAACAATATCCCCCCCCCCATGGCCAAAACATAAATACGCCCTTGAATCCCCACCGGTTCTTTTGATATGGAAATCTGTCAATAGTTATAAATTTAACTAAAAAAATGTCCACCCTGAGTTCAGATGAACTTCAGGTCCTGCTGTAGGTCCAAAAGAATATAAAATTGTATTATTTTAATACTAGCTTCAAACAAATAAAATCATAATTTCATTCGGATGAATTATGACGGTAGATCTGTTTGATATCAATATCCAAAGAATATATACCTAAATTTTGGTTAAGTAAAAAGAAAACCTTTGGGTATTTACCCGTAATACATCACTACGCGTAACTCACGCATATCGGTCTGTCGTCGTAGTGAAGTCCAAGTAGTTGGTTTTTTATTGAAACTAGACCAATTATCGCTAACCATAAGTCGCGAAAAAAAATGTTATGTTTTCCGGTCCGAATACGTTCAGATTTCGTCTCAGGGAGCAGATCGTGATCGATGATTTTTGGTGGTCGGACGGAAGGGTGTTTTGTTTTTGCGCGTTGCATAGACCAGTGTTGTGTATTTTTTTTTGGATTCAAGATCCCAAAATTAATTGATCTCGACGAGGTGACGATTAATTAATTCCTCGACAAAGAATTTTCGAGCTTCCGTGTACACACCACCGCACTACGGTGCAATAGTAATATGGAACCATTTATAGAGACGATTCATAAACGCCGTTAGTAAAATGTGATCAAAAATATTACACTAATTACAAATGCCAATATTTTCGTGATACATGAGTAGCAAAAACACAAAGTGACACTTGGTCTATGCTTAATGCTTCAACGAAGTTAATTAATATTAAAAGAAACTATATTCTGACCTCTCAGTTCAAATATTTTATTGAAGCTGAAATTTCAAAATAATGTAGAATAACTGTAATTTTTATCTATTTTAGTTTTTTTTTTTATTTGAATTTACAAAATTAACAAACTTTAAATTGATCGAAATTTAAAAATTTGAGGTATGGAAATTATTCGGGGGAAACTTCCAACACCCCTCCCTCCTATAAATACGTCATTGGTCTTTATAACTTAAAACCAATGTATGCCGCTATCGTTATCACAGCGTCTCCTCAACGTCAAAGTCTTTGGTAGACCACTATCGACATCACATTTCACTTCATCATTATCATTTATATTGTATTCGTAATACAAATAAGTTGTTGAGTTAACATCATTGACTTCAAAACCATTCTGACACCAACAGTAGCAACGCTCTCGGAAAAAACAATCCTAAAAAAAATAGGTCCGGTGAATCAGTTTATATTTCTTAAGATGGTTGATATAGTAAAACCAAATTTCCTATTAAGTTAGTTAAAGTTTTAGAATCCCAACTTTAACAAAACAGAAAAAAGGCGTATAAAATGTTTAAAGGCTATAAGCAGTAAAATGTTTAGGTGGGAAGATATGGTAAAAAACGACGTGGAGGCACTGAATGGAGGTCCGGCTTAGACCCACCCCCACAAATTTCACCAAATTTCCCCTTATGGTTTGTGGTACGTGCACACACTAAAAACGCACTAGCTAAGACATAGCGTAATACAAAAATAATAATAATTTGTACTTATGAATATTTCGATGACATTATTACACCAACAAAAACTGTCAATTCACGCCATAGACATGTGTAGTACACGTCATACACCGAACAAATACGAATAACGCGAACAACAATTTAGGTAATCATACGCAAGACATCAATTCTATTTCAGACTTACAGTATTGCAATAGATAACGACTTGGTGATTCGTAGACCTATTACCTATTAAATTATAATAATACGACATATCCGCTTGGGATAATTTTAAAAATAGTATCCCAGTTGATTAAACTTGAACATTCAACATACCATACCATTTGTGTACACCTGTCCATATGATATATTGCTATTGTCTTTATCTAGATACATTTAGATTAATTAACATTTTTTTATATTATTTGTAAAATTATTCCTGTGAATAATAATTTTACTATTAAACAACTAATGAAAAAACTGAAATAACCACAAAAATACATACAAAATTATATGTCACATAAAGATTGTAAAATAAAAAATTATTCGGGTTTCGGGATAAAATCAATATTTTATTCGGGTTTTGGTTAATTCGGGTGTTTAAAAAAAAAAAATTATTCGGGTTATATGGGTTTTGGATGTTTGATTTTTTAAGGGTTTTTAGGGGTGTATTATACTTTATCAATCATTTTTATTGAATCGATTTTGACGTTTAAAAAGTAATTATTAAATTATCGTTCTAAGTTAAATATGTTAACCATGTATAACCGTATTAGTTATTCGCATTTGCAATCGTATGCACGCACTTTGCCACATATATGTCAGTTCATCATTTTTTCCCCACTGTTTTTGCAACTACAGTTAACGATAGCGATATTGTGGGAAGGGAAGTCGAAGTGCACACAGAAAGTAAAATATTTACTTATATAAACATGTGACGAATATTATTTAAAAAACTAAAATTCTAAAAATGTATCGAGTAAAATTTTATTCAAACCATTAACAAATTTTTTCAAGAGTTTTTTATTTATTTATGAAACCTAAGAAAAATATAGAATATATTAATACACAATAAGTAGGTGTACGTGTGTTGATATTAACTATTATCATATTACAATGCAATAGATATATGTATATTTTGGGTATTTGGACATTTTCCAACAGGAAACAACAAGTTGGAC